TCAAAAATTGACAAAATATGGAAAAATCCCGAAATTAAGCAAATTATTTTGTGTTAAGAATTCGTAAAAAATTTTCTTTTTAAATCTAAGGTTTTAAAATGTAATACAAGATTCCTTATAAGATTATCTTACCTTTATCAAAATAAAAATGTCTATAAGAAAGTCAAATGAAATTTTTATGAGCGTTTGAAATTCAAATGTGTACAACATTTTATATTCACTCGATTTCTCATGTAGCGATTTCCTTATTTTGTTGTAATTCAAAAACGAATAACTGTACATACATGAAAATTTCACTGAATGTGTATATTAGAATTTCCTATACACCATACAATTTTGACTCTTTTTGAGCTGTTTACGGACATTTACAGTTTTCAATTTTTTTAGTTTTTTTTTTCTATAAATATCAATAGTTTTATCTGTTGGGTCAAAAAGTGTAAAAATTTAATACAAGGCTTCTGATATATTGTTACAATATCAGTTGAAAAATATTAAAAATACATAGGTACAATATTTTTTTATAAGCATTTAAATATCAAATGTTGACAAAATTTATCAAATTTAAAATTGAATAATTATTTTGTAGGTAAAAATTTATAAGATGTTCAACTTTTATATCTAAGGATTGAAAATTTAAAACAAGATTCTACTTAAGTAGTTAATTCTGTTTCCAAAAAATCTAAATAATACATAAGCATAGTTTATTTTTATAGTAATTTTAAGTTCAAATTTGGACGAAATGACTAGAAAAATCCTAGAATAACCATTTTAGTTATTTTGTTGTGATTGTATAATATTATTACTTGAAACTTCTAAAGTGTACTATTAAATATCTATGATAATATCAGATTTTGTTGTAATGGATATTGTGATATGATTAATTTTAAGTTTATTATAGGTACCTATTATAGGTCAATTTTTTTTTATAACAGATAAGTATATAATAATTGTCTTAGACTGACATACCGTCTCCGCTCAGAATCGTTTTTCTTATGCAATGATATTATATCATTGAATTCGAAATTTAATACCATCCATTATACAGTGACCCATTTGTAACCTACTGTACAGCAGAGCACCTTTTTTTATTTTTATTTTTTAATACTGAAATAAAAAATTTTAAATCTGATTAAAATTATTTTTGAAAGTTTCAAAAGAGCCAATTTGTTAATCTGGTTTTTAGAAAACTATTGACTGAAAAAACATTTATTTTCGTCAAGTAGTTTATTTATCATCGTTTTTTTAAATGTTAAAATTTTTTTGAAAAGTTTTAACTTATACTTTTTAAAAGAATATTTAGATTTTAACAAGTACTTACCTATTTAAAAATTCTCGTAAAATATTTTGAAAAAGTGTATACTTTTTGAGTTAAAAAATTCAAATGTTTTTTACGATTGGATCAAGTTAACTTATCAAAAATAATGAGATTTAAAAGAATTTTAAAAAATAAACTCATAACTTAAATAAATGTTCTTACAATCTAAATTTTTCTAAAAACAAGATTTACAAATTGACTACTAAACTATATTGAATTTTTAAAAAACAAATTTATAGATTATATATAATATTTTTATATTGTTTTATTTACAATATTAAAAAACAAAAACAAAACGTGTTATAGGTACCTGCCTACTATACTTGTTGTGGAAGCGTTTGTAAATGATATTTCAAAAATAAAATAATTGAAAAATATTTATTAGTACAAAAATTATTTAATTTGTCAGGTTTTAATGTTACAGCATGTATGTTATAGGTACCTAGCCAATAAAATAAATGCACGTCGTTTAATAATATTAATGAGACTGCACGTAGGGTGCTATTTATACCTAATAACAATAAAAATAATAACATATTATTATAATGTACCTAATAGTATTGCAATACACATTACACTTTATTAAACCCTCCCAGCTTTTGTATTTAATTTTAGTAACATACGAGTGTAGGTATATTTTATTGATTCCGATTGATGTAGTCATACATTGATATGTAACGTCATTATTATAAAATATAAGGTGATAACAGAGCACACTCATAAATAGGCGCGTGCAGGAATTTTTCATAGGTATGCAAAATTGAACGAGTCTAACGATCTATGCTAAAAATTGTATTGAAAAAATGTCTACCATAAATTACTATCATATATAAAATGTTTTGATGACAATAGCGAAAAAACTTATTGTAATATTAGTTATTAAGAATCAAACATTCCTTGCTCGTTAAAGGTTAACTGTTTTGCTTGACCAGTGGTTGTGGATAGGTACCTTTTTATATTGAATGATTGTTATCAAAGCTTCCAAGAGGAGTCTTTTAGTATATTTTATAACGTTAAAGATAAATAATTTGTATTAATTAAATAAAACTTAAAAGCAAATTTTTTTATTATTTTTAAATTTAAAATTATTATAACCCGTGTCTATATAAATATTAAACTGAAATCCAAGTATATTTTATATACCTACTTACTATTATCATTATACATAGTACTATGTTTATGTGCTATTAATTATTATATAATATTGCTGAATGTAAATATAATAGTTATAAAAAAACGTATGGTGGGGCTCTCCCAACATAATGATCACTTTGCACCTTATATATTATAGTGTAAGTATGATAAAGTCGGACATTTTAAAGAAATTATCTAACGTGTTTCTTGATTCTATTTCTAAAACATAAATTAACGTAAATTGTACTATAGACAATAGACTATAGAGTTCATATTATAGCACACGTTAAAATTGGTTAGTATTTTATGACCGCATGTTTAGGTAGATATGTCAAAATAATCTTTATAACAAATTAATTGAATAGCCTTTAAATTAGTTTTTTAATTATAATGTTTTCCGAACAATTATTTCTTTTTATAGTTGTCACTTAAAATAATAATTATGTTCACAATTATTCATGAATGTGATTTTAATTCCTTGTCATTAAGGTTCGTTATGGTATATATTTCTGTTGTGACTTTCGTTGTTGATTTTCTACTAATATTATTTTACGATTGGTATACGTAATACAATTAGCCTACACTTTTAGAACTGTTATTATTTTTGTTATAAGCATTAAGACTGCTTTTATACTGTTTTGTGAATTTTATGTTATGGGCGTTATGGTATTTAATAAGCATTAATCAAGTATTAAATATTAATGTAGTTATTTTGAATATAATTGCTGGATTTTTCAGCAGGGAAATGGGATCAGATTGATGCGAGGAGAGGAGCTTCAACTGTGCCTCTGTAGGGAATTAAACAAAAGTGGTATCTGGATTAACGCAGTGAGATACATGGGTAGGAATACATCGAATAGAGTGAATAGTGGTGTAGTCATAAGGAAAGGAGAAGATTTTAAGAAAAAAGTAACTCATGACAAATAACGGTTTAGGGAATACTCAGTAGCGTATTTAGGAATAATTTTTCATGGGTGGGAGGGGTTTCACATAAACTTCGTTACCTATTCAAAACTGCAGTGGGTTACATTTCTAATAATTTTATATAAACACATAAAAAAAAATTGTTCATCATTATGGGGGGGGGGGGTGATTTCCGGATCCCTTGGACTCACCCCTCTCATAAGTACACCACTGGACCTGGTAACTAGTTGATTACGAGCCAAATATGGATGGAATACGACCATCCATCATAACTAACCATCAAAATCAGTGGCATGCCCAGTGGGGGGGTTAGGTGTTATAGCCCCCCCACCATCATCTGATAAATCCCTTTATTTGTGCCTTTGGGCTTTGGTACTACCACACCAGAATTCATTTAAATGTATTATTAGTGTTAACATTTCCTGTGTACTCATGTCGTAGTACTTCCGCTGGGGAAGCCTCTACATTCCATCCAATTTGCCTTTTTATTTTTATTTTAACATTTTAACCCATCAATTTTTATTGTTTTTCTTTGTAATAGATTGAATAAAAAAACAAAAAAAAAAAAACATTTCCCTCAGGTGGTCAGACTGATACTATTATTATTACTTATGTTGTTATGTTGTTAAATTGATTATTATGTAAAAACTGTTAACTTTGTTATAGGTTAGAAACATAGAAATATATACAAATTGTTAATCCACATGCTCTTATGCGTTTTTATAACATGTTTTAACTAATTGTTTTTGTTTTGTACTTATGAGAATTTCTCTTTTACTAATAAAGTATATAATACAAATGTAAAAGACTTTTGTAGAGTTTTGGTGACTTTAGAAACTTAAAATTCTACAGTCATTAGGGGAGCTAATTTCCCTGTAGAATTTAAAATGTTGATAGATACTTGAGATTGTAATATATATATTTATTGTCATGGCAATTTACAAAATATATTGTGATAATTCATATCACAGCAGCTGCAGGTTAGGTTAGGTTAGGTTAGGTTAGGTCTGCATTATCAGGCATTATTACCTATTTATTTAATTCTATGAATATAATTTAGGTATAACCAGTTAGTACTTTAATGTTTTAAAATGTGATCATATAATATACTTTATAATTGTTAATTATTGTATTCATTGTTTTAGACTAAGTTTGATACAATTTAATAATATTACAAAATAATAAAACTAAGTGGCACAACATCTAAAAAATTTGCTCCAGAAACAATTAATTTATAAAAATACACTTGTTATTACTAATTTCTATTAAGTTCTTAAATTAGAACATAATTTTATGAATCATAAATTAGAATCAAGAAACCAGAAGGTTTGACATGTATGTAGTAACAGGGTTAGTAGTTCGTATAAGTCCTTAAAAACTTTTTGTATTTAAATTTTAAATAGTTCAGTGACACATTTTTTTAAGTGGGCATTTGGGTTACATTAAAACTTTACCTAGTGTGTTAAAACTCTATACATAATATGTCCACGCGATTACAGTATCTTACTCAATAATGAGATACCCTTGAAATCTACTAAATAGCAGAAGCGAGTACTTTGTATTTTGATATTAATTTCTTGCTTATATTTAAATATTTAATATTATTTTTCAGGGAGAAGTCTCAACAATGAACTCTGAAAACAACCAACAAGTTCTAAAAACTCCCGACCTCCCATACCCGAATAGTCCGACACCGCCGCCGTCGTACGAGGAAGCGACGAGAAACGACCATTACTATCAACCACAATCGTGGTTGCCTTCGACTAGCAGCGGGTATACCAGCAGTGGTCACTCGACAATACCCGCTGTGTTCAGTGTTGAGTACCAGTACAACGATGCCATGTCAAATGTTCACAGAGGTATACCGTCTGTGACCACGACCACAACCACTCAAAATCAGACCCAAGACGATTGCACATCGTCGCACAAGTCTACAATCCAAAACATTCCCAGTGTGACCATAACGTTGGACAATGATCAACATCCAACTGAAATTTAATGAAATAATAATAGTTTGGAGTCTAATGCCGAGTGTCAGGATTTGAGTTTGAAGGAAATCTGAAAATCTGCAGGATTATAAGGACAACCGATTTAACTAAGATAATCCGAAAAATTATGGTAATCTGAACTGTCAGAGTACTTAACACAGAAAATTTAGATAATTTAATTTTCTTAACTATTATATTTTTAATTATTAAATTATTTAACTGAATTATTATGATTATTTATAATAAAAAAAGAAAAATCATTGTTATTATGATTACATAGGTACCGCTTTTAATATTTGTAAAATAATTATTTGTAAAATCGTTAAAAAATATTTATAGTAGGTACCAGGTACCAGGTAACTTAACTATTATCATCATATATTATATTGTTATTTAATTTTATTTTCATTATTATTATTATTATTATTATTATTATTATTATTATTATTTTTATAGTTATACTGTGGTTTATATACAATAATTATTAATTTGTATTGTAAATAGGTACTTATCGTTGTTTAAAAAGGAATTTGGAAGTTTTGAAATTTGTTCTCAATTTCCTAATAATGTTGGTGATTAACTTTGTTGTACATAAGTAAATCAAATACATATAATCGAAATATCTGAAATTCAATTTTTTCCCAAACTTTAAATGACAAACCTATAGCGATGAGTGTGGTTTGTCTATTATACCTATGCAATAATAATAAATTAATGTTTATTTAACTTTTGTCACAAGTCACAACAATTTATGAATAGTTACTAGAATACTTACCTATATAATTTAATTATAGTAGGTATAGCGCAGTGTTTCTCAAGTTCTCAACCTTTTTATTGTAGTGACCCCCTTTTTTTTTAATTTCAATTTTTTAGCGACCCCCCTACATATATTTTTTTTATTTACATGCATAGAATATAGATTTTTATTAATAATCAATAGTAAAAGTACTGTACATTGTACACAACATAAAATACATATAATATTATAATTATTTTTAATTAAATAAACGTATTGAACGTTAACTTCTAATTCATACTCGGCGCTAAATAATAAGTTGGGGACCCGCGAGGGGGTCTCGATCCCCAAGTTAAGAAACACTGATATTGCGTACTTGTCTTTATACATTTCTTTCTACACTACGTTATTATTATTATTATTATTTTTTATTATGTATATTTTAATAAGTTAAAATTATACAGACATTCAAAATGGAAATAATTTGGTTGAAAAATTGATAACCCAATTTATATGATTTGGGAATAATTTATGTGATTGGTTTATGTTAAAATATACATATTAAAATTCCTCAGGATCATAATATCAATCACAAACATTTGCAATGGCGTGCCCATTAAGAGTTATATACCTCACCCCCCATTGACCATAAATTCTCCTTATTTGTGTCTTTGGTATTACCACCACAATTCATTTAAATGCATTATTATAGTTATAACACTCCCTGCCCCATTAAAAATTCCTGGAAATGTCACTGAAATTTTGAGTTAAATTAATATTTAATCTGGTCCCTTTATATATTATATAAATATAAATAAATATATTTCAATTTTAATTCCAAACTAGGTTATCGAGAATTCGAAAATGCAGAAAAGAATGCTGAGTCGTTAAAATTTAAAAATGTTTAACATATTGTAAAATTGATGTGTCTCCATAGCAATAGTGTATTTGCAGTTAAGAGGAACAATATTTATATATATATATATATATATTACTAGCTGACCCGACAGACATTGTCCTGCATGATATTTCAATCGATTAGTATATTAAATAAAGTATGAAATGAAAGCCAAATAATATAATAATTTCATTATTCTTTATTTTGAAATAACATCAATTTTTCTAAATACAATTCGTTATAATCAATAATTTTTGTTTTCTTTAATTTTATCTTAATGCTAGTTTATGAACAATATTTTTAGTCAATTTCTGAGTAACCGGATTATCGAGATCTAACCCACAAATCGGCATTGTTTGACCTTGTGACTTATTAATAGTCATGGCAAATGCCAAGCGAATTTTAAATTGCAGACGTCTGAATGGTATGGGTGAGTCTGAAGGGATCATTGGGATTCATGGCAGGAGAACAACTTCACCTATACAAATTTGTTTCTTACATTTTCATTGTCCGTCAATTGATCTTCTGCCGATCTATTTAACCGATAGTTATAGACTAGTTGTGCATTCCTAGTCCGTAGACTAATATTTCCTCTTGCCTGACGTGGCATTGTTTTATGTACCCGTTGCTGTACAAAACGAAATTCTTTATTGATAACGATTCATTTTATAAAAAAATTAAGAATTTTCGTTGGTTTCAATTATCTTAACGTTGTTTATAAATTATTTCTAATTATTTCTGATTTCACGGCAATCAATATTTATTATTATAATAATGGCTTTAAAACCCATGACAACCATTTATAAACAAAAATATCCACCATAAATCTCAACATTCCCGTTTGAGCACCTCCGCGGAATGGGCCTGCCGGGTCCGATTGTCAATCTAAAATATTCTAGAGCCCACTAAAGCACGCACAAAAAATTTCATCAAAATCGGTTCAGCCGTTTAGGAGGAGTTCGCTTACAAACACAAGTATAGTAGAATTATATATATATAAAGATATATATTTATAACTAGCTGATCCCGCGCACTTCGTTGCCCGTTAAATGTACCAACTATATAATATGACTCAAACTTTGTTCGATTCGTATTATTTAATATTCGGTGTATGGTGTTCAATCCTCTTGATTTTTCCGTTGCCCGGAAAAAAAATTCTGATTGTTCAACTACTTTTGGATGTAACACACTGTGGGAGCAATATCTTTTTAAGTGAAAATGATATTATTGTATTTTAATGTATAACTATCTCGTTGTTTGTAAGATTCGCAACAGTATATTATCAGGTAGGTACCTAGTCCTACCGGTGGAAGATATAAGTGCCAAAATGAGATAAGTAAAAAAAAGTTTTATCGTACGTAAGCGCCAAAATCGTAGCTTGGCGATTATGTCATAATATAGCCGTTTGTACGTAAGTGTATAATTTAACTCTAATGTATCAAATGTATACCAAGTCTGTGGTTTTTACTTAATTCCACCTACGGTGGATTAATATAATCAATTAATAAAAAAATATAAATAGCGGTATATAGTAGGTACAAACTACAAAATACATATGCAAAATTGGAACAATCGATTTTGATTAATTTTTTTAAATAATAAAATATCATTCGTTAGTATGTTTTTTTTTATTTTAATATTTTTCTTGTGGATTCACGTACACATTTTGTTAGAAAACAACAACATGGTTGTTGTTTATATAGTTAACGAAATGTGCTATGCTCGGAATTTGTGTGTATTTGAACAATACCTGCAGAACTTTGAAATTTCGAAATATTAAAATCATCGTCTTGCATTTTTTGCTTAAAAATTAAACGTATTATTATGTACAAATTATTTTGTATATTAAATATAAATATATTTATCAGCTCTAGTTGATCCCGCGCAATTCGTTGCCCTTAAAAAATGACAACTCTTATAAAAAAAAATGTGATTGTTCAACTCCTTTTGGGTGTTACTTGTTGCTGTAAGTGCAACTCTGACACCCTGGTAGGCAATCCACCTATGTCGGATAGCGGACAATGTGCGACAGCATATCAAGTACCTGTGGTGGATTGCATACACGATACACGCCGATGATCGTGCAACTCGGCCACCGCCCACCTTTATAGGCAATGTGCATCGAAAATTCAATTTGATGCATGCTTGTACCGGATCTGTCCGATAACCAATGGCAACCAGTAAAATAATAAATACTTATTTTTACTAATTATGTCTCCTATAACCAATAGCAACCATTTATAAACAACAATTTTCATCGTAAATCTCAAAATTCCTGTTTGAACCCCTCTTCGAGTTGGACCTACGGGGTCCAATTTTTAATTACTATACATTTTTCACACTATTTTCACTATTTTGTATATATATATAGATAATACCTATGCATTATTGACTATTGCACAAACTATTACGACAGTGGGCAACATAATATAATCAATCATGAGTTAGATGGTGATTGTAAATGTATTATAATAACATAGTTAAATTAAAAATGGTTTAAAATAATTTTTAATGTATAGATACCTACTAATAACTAATAACTAAAAAGTAATAGTTTGTATGAAAAGTGTTATAGAATAATGATATATCATTAGCAATCATTATAGCCAATAGGTTCCTATAATTTTTCTTAAGTAATCGCACATTAACAATATAGATTAACAATTAGCTATCGTTGTTATCAATTACAATACTTTGGATTTTAGATAGGTATATGATACCGTTTTGAATAATATATCGTCGGCCTAATTCGCAAAAGTCGTATCTCCATTTTTTGTCATTTTGGGATTATTTACTCATAAAATAAAGAAAAAAAAACTGCGTCTGTTGATACAATCAAATTTCCGATTTCATAATATTATCCTCCATGAAATTGATAATTAGAAATCGTCGTATCTCCAATTAATAATATGGCCACGATATATTTATTGGGCAATCTAAGGGCCGTTCTTACGACGTCCGGTTAAAGTTAACCGACACTTAACCGGAAGAATTCTGCCGGTAATAAAATCTGTTATCAGTCGGTTAGCGTTAACCGACACTTTACCGGACATTGTAAGAACGGCCCTAAGAAGAAAAAGTCCTAAGTCCATTATAAAATTATTAATGAACACTACAATGTTTATATTGTTCTATTATAATTGCAATTATGTTTTTTAAATGAAAGGGAAAAGAATAATGTCTAATTTTATCAAAGTGAATTAATTAAACGTTTTTTTCTTCTCCTGAACAATTTGTAATTTTGGACATACGACCTTTGCGAATTAGGCCGACGATATGTAATATTGTTATTTGTTAAGCCAATTCAAAACTAAAATGTTTTTATTACATTTTGACTCCATACCTAAAAAATGAAACAATGAACATTGTTTTGTACT